TCTCTCTCTCTCTCTCTCTCTCTCTCTCTCTCTTCCCTGGTTATGAGAGAGCAGTGATGGTCTGTAAATTGCTGACAGTACCACAAACCACCCCACTAGGGCCACTACACTACAACTAAACAGTGTCAGCATTTAAGTCTAACTGACTGGATTTATTATACTTCTGTCTCTTTATTTGATGACAGACCAGGGACAGAGCTGTCTCACTCTGCCCTTTGGATGGAACGCCTTTCAGTCAGCCTAAAATGATGAGGACATCATCACCACAATCATTTACGTGTCCCCAGCAGATGATTTCTTCTACTCATAGCTCAAGCTACCACAAAACTGCTATACAGACATTGGGGAACTTTTAGAAGAATGGTTTGATACTGGGTAATCTTGATGGTAAATGGCTAGAGTTGGCAGCAGGTAAAATGAATGAATGATTTGTTGTTGATTTTTATGGTGACTGTATTATTTCACTAATTGACAAAATTACAAGACTCTTTTCACTCAGTGTCAGAAAACACATCTTCAGAAAGAAAAAGGGATTTGATAAACAGATGTGTGTATTGGGTTAAAATAAGAAAGATCATTAGATTGAAGTCTGGCCTACGTGTTCTGAATTGAGTAGCCTGCCCCATAATGAACAGAAGGTTAATTAGTAAGTTTATGATATACAGTCTAAGTATGTTTGGAGCAGTCACTGAACTGTATCGCTGAGTAACCTGGATCAGGCATTACTTCTTTCTCAGTAACAACAACTTACCTGAGTAAAACTACAATAGATTTAGGTGTTCATATGGAAAACAAAAAATGGGCTGTCAGAAGGAGCAGATAAAATAATAATTAATAACTTGTATCTCCTTTCTGAGGAATAACAGATCTTCTTGGAATAAAAACCATGAGTGTCAGTGAAGCTGTAAGTCATTAGGGCAGAATTCTGTTTTCACAGAGGTGCATCCCAGTTGGTGAAGTCAGAGGAGAACAATTCATTGCCTTTCTCATAAAACCACAGCCGCAGTTTTATTGTCATGTGACACTGTGACGTTTTTGCAGCGAGGATGATGGCGGACAAATTTCTAATCAGCATGCATCACGTTCCATCAGCGCTGTGCAGTGCTGCGTCAAGTCAAATGAGCCTGTATGTATCCTGTGGGTGTAACATGGTTCTTCAGGGAAGTAGATTTCCCTTGTGTGTGCACTAAAACCAAAATGCATGCGTGCATTTCTCATGGTAATGACGGTATTGCAATACCTATGTTGAAGCGGAACGTGAGGCTGGTGATGGTGATGAAAGTGGTGCAGTTTACTCCTCAACCAAGTTTTTTGGTGAAGAATAGTTATTTTCCTGTTTAATGAGAAAAGTTGAAAGCCTAGTTTGTGGTGAGACCTCCTGTAACAAACCCCTCACTGGTTTCTCTCACTTCAAGATAAGCAAAACTACCTTTTGAGAGTGTATGCTGCTGTAATGTATGATAATGATGATATATATTTATATATAGATTTTATTTACCTGGTGTTCATGATGAACAGGAAATAGCTAAAAAGACTTAGTAAGTCATATTTACGTTTTGTACAAAAAAACACAATTTGATGTACACAAAATATATATAAGTTGTTTAGCAATGGATGCAGACATGTCAAAATGATGAAACTGAAATAACCAACCCAATGTGTGTCCATCCAACCAGCCAACCAACCAATTTATATTTGTATGGGTCTTTCATACAAATATTTGAAACACTTTTATAAAAAGTGAACCTCCTCTATCCACACACAAAGCAGTAAATAATTTCATAAATAAAAGACAATAACAGAGGAAATAATAAGTAAACATCATCACAAATTAAAAAAAATCTGATAAAAAAACACCAGAGGTAGGAGGTAAATAAATTAACACAATTGAGGTAGGTGTTGTGAACCCAGAGTCTCGGGTTAGGGTTGTTTTTCTGTCCTTCCACACTTTTAATTTTAGTCCTGTTTTGATTATGATGCATCACGTCAACAGGAACTGATCAAAAAGTCTGCTCTGGTCCACACATCACAATTAGTGGTACACTGACCCCAGACCCACATTAATACACCCTACCTGACCTGAGTATATAATTTGGCTTGACTCAGGTCTCTGGTTGGGTGATTTACAAACAACCAAGAGGAGCCATGAGGACATTGAATTCTAACTTTTCTTTCAGGACATTTTCTCCCAAAATCCTTTCAGCATAGAAACTAGGAGCCTTCATAAAAAAGAAAAGCCCCAAAAGCCTACAGAGAATGCCACCTGCACTGCTCTCAACTCAATAATATATGTGATGTTGGCTTGAACAAAATAAATGCTAAAACATAAAAATAGCTGTGGCTTGTCCCATCATTTTCACCTGCAGATTATTCATGATACTGTATTAATGTATGAAAGGGTCCAATTCTGTGTGTCACATATGGTCTCATCACTGCAGTCAGATTTGGGCTGGATCAGGTGCACCTGCTATATAAGAGCCTCACTAAGAAGAGAGTGCAACCACAGTTAAAAATAGTGAAGCAGAAATATAGACACAATGTACTGTGCCCCAAAGTGACCCTTCGTCTAGGTTTTCTCCCCCAGTGATGGCATGACAACACACAGGGCCAGCAAAAATACACTCCATTCAGCCACAAAAGTGTGCATTCACCTACTTACACACAAAAACACACACACATAGAAATCTGCTCCCACACACACTCACACAAGGGGACATGTTCATTGATCTAGAAGTGATTCTAAGCTAAAACAACTAGAAAGGCCTGAAAAGCACAACCGTGCCCTGACAGGTGTGTGTATGTGCATAATCTTATCATCCATCTACATACTTTTGTTTCTTTTTGACATATATGTGCGTATGCATTGTTCTATTTTGACTCGTGTGCGTGTATGAAACAAGCAAAAGCGCTTTGTGTATGTATTTGTGTGACACTTTGTGTTCCTGTTTATATCCCTCCAGGTGTGTGTGTGTTCACTGTGTGCGCTCCAGTGTTGGTCTCAGTATGTGTGCATGCTCTCAGGCAGTACCAGTAGTAACCAGTTCAGGTCACTGACTCTTTCAATTCAATGTTAAGGTTTTGGTTGCAACCTGTGTGTGTGTGTGT